ACGCAACTTCAAGTTGCAGGAGGAGCACTGCACGCATGCGTTGTAGAAAAGTTGGCACGCCTGCACAACCAGGAGTTTCACCATATCATGCGAAAGCGGCCAAACTTCAGCCCGGTTTTCCGTCTGCCTCCGATGACCAGGGTTCATCTCGGATGAAACCATTTGAGATTCGCTCCCTTTGGAGTGAGAACTGAGGGTTCGAAGCTGAGCTTCGGAAGCGCATGCTGATTATGCGCCGCGCAAATTGTGCCACATTACGTGCGGCACAAGCGCGGAGCCTTCCTTGAAAAAAGTTCTCTTTCCTTTGTAATGAGTCTTTCACTTGCTTCCATCTCCTTTCTTCCTGTTTTCGGACTTCTCTTTCTACTGTTTTCTCTCTTCCTTTTCCCTGTCTTCTCCTATTCCTTCTTTCCTTTCCTTTCCTTTCCGTCCCTCTTCCTTTCTTCCTCTTCCTTTTTTCCTCTTCCTTTTTCCTCTTCCTTTTTCCTTTTCTTTTTTCCTTTCTTTTTTCCTTTTTTCTTTCTTTCCTTTCTTTCCCCCTTTCCTTCCTTATTCCGGTGAGTTCCTTGGCCACAGATGTGGCCGAGCACCCCAGTTTTCCACCACACTGGCACTCAGTATCCAAAACCAAGACGTTCAAGTCCTGGCCGGAAGCAATGACGTGATCGAGTCCACCATAACCGATATCATAACCCCAACCATCACCACCGATGATCCAGTTAGAGATCTTAGGAATCAAATCGGACACATCAAGAATCTCCTGAATAGCAGGATCCTTACTGGCCTCAGCCTTGAGAAGAGGCGGGAGAGACTTGGAAAGAGCGGCGCACACAGAAGGATTCCTGAAGTTCTCAACCCACTCGTTCAACTGAGTGTACAACTCAGGCGAGAGCGGACTATCCTTTCCTTCGAGAAGAAGTTCCTGTACACGAGCCTTGAGCGCCTTACGACGGACAGAGGTGGTCACAGCCATACCCATACCATATTCTGCAGCGTCTTCGAAAAGACTGTTTGCCCAGGCGGGACCAGTCCCATCGTATCTCGTAGTGAAAGGAGTGGGACCGTAAGGAGCACCCCAGATACTGGAGCAACCGGTAGCATTAGCAATCACCATGCGGTCACCGAACATTTGAGTGAGAAGGCGAACATAGGGAGTTTCACCACAGCCAGCACAAGCACCATGGAACTCTAATAAAGGCTGGTAGAACTGACTTCCCTTAAGGGTGGTTTTATCAAACCTTGAAGATCGATCGGGGAGACTTACAGCATACTCCCAGTTTGGCTTTTCGATATCCTCGAAATCAGCCAAATGCTCCATTCTTAAAGCATCATAGGGGCATGCGTTAACACAGGTCTCACAACCAGTGCAATCCAAGGGCGAGACCTGGATCCTGTAGTGAAGACCGGCAACCTCGGCACCACCCTTGGCTTTACGACTATCAAAGGTACTCGGCTTGGCATCATCCTCAGCTTGGGACAACAAGAAGGGTCTGATGCAAGCGTGAGGGCACGACATAGAGCAAATA